GATTCTTGCACGTAATGAAAACCGAGTTCGGTGTAAATATTATGGATGTTGCAAGTATCGCTAATCTTATTTCATGTAAAATAAATGATATGTAATATGTATATATAATGTAAATAATATGTAATATGTATATTATATTTATTTACATATTTTTATATGTATTTCAGCTCGCGTGTTCAGTACCACGTTGCTTCTGAGCTTCGTTTTGCTCCGCCTATTCTTGGCAAATATTGAATGCTGATATTGTCTCCGCCAACGTAACTTTCTTCGTATTGAGGATCACGTCATTTGTTTCTTCACCTTCAGAAGAGTTATCATCATTGGCGCAGTGAACTTCAATTTGTACGAAAGACTTCAAAGTAGGTTCAACAATCCATTTCAGTTCAGTTCGGTTGTTATGTCAAACAATTTTTGAATGATGACCGAATTGAAGACACATTAACGGAATTCCATGCATTAGATAAAAACATATTGCGTCTTTTAAGCTGATGCTTTTCAGAGCTTCGTCCACTGATTTTCCTCGTCGAACGATTTGTAGTTCATTTTCGTAAGACTTATAACTTTCTGATTCATTTACTGGATAACAACAGAACAATCCGGAGGAAGACACATCACTAATATTTAACCATCAGTACTATTTAACTTTCCTGCTTTGGGGTGACAGACAACATTATTTATAAGTGACATAGCCATTTCGGAAAGTCGTTACAACCACTTTAAACACGTTGAAACCACACTTTCATTCTACGACGGGATAKACAATCATCGCCATAAACTCGTTTCATCAAATGAAATGTTTCGGCAAAAGTTTTACTAATTTTAAACAAAATTTATTTTTGGCTCTTTGTTCGCAGTTCATTTTCGCACCGATAACACAAACATACTGACACTTAAAACGCAATAACTTCACTCCTAATCAATGAAATGTCATGAAATTCTCACTGGACAATCGATAAAGATGGCAGATTCTAACGCACCAGTCATACAGCTGGCGTTACCATATGTGGACGACATTCCATCAGGTAGCCAGAGTATATAGTTAGCGTGCGAATCACTATCGCAATTGATCAAAGCACTAAATTCAGCAGGTTTTCCCTTAAACAMAATAACATCAAATCATCCCGAAATAATCAAAGATATAAAAAAGGAAGACTTATAAGATCCTTAAATTCGAAAAGGGTAGTATAACAAAAACCCTGGAATGCGATAACTGATCAATTCTCATATACAACTGAGTCAATATTTGCAATGTCCGCCATAAGCAAACACCAAATACTTTCCTCAATGGCAAAACTTTCCGACCCCGCAGGATGGCTTTCGCCAATAATGATTCAAGCTAAATTCTCATTCAAGAAATGTGGCAAGATGGCACTGAATGAGATGAACAGATAAAACCTGTACGTTTAACAAAATGGGTTCCATTTGCTAACAATATACAATCCCTCAATGGGTAAATTATACCCCTAACATTAACGCAGAATTATGCGGTTTCTGTAATGCCTCTGAAAAGGATTATTGCGCAAAAGTCTGTATATGCCTTCAGTACGACAGCAAGATAGTTTCACCTTCCCTTCATTTTTTGGTAGCCAAAGTCAAAGTTGCACCTTTGAAGACCCTCAGTCTGCCACGACTTGAACTGAATGGTGCTCTTCTGTTAGCAAAATTAATTTCAATAGTTCAAACCCATCTCAAATTAAACGATCACAAATGTATCTGGTCAGACTCACAAATAGTTCTAGCACGGTTAGAAAAATAACCTTTACTTAGAAGACGTATCTAACCGAATATCTCAAATCTTAGACTTAGTTTGGCCGGCAAAATATCAACATGCTGCAAAAGCAGATAACTCAGCGGATCTCGGGACAACAGGTTGCAAGCCACTCCACCTCACCAGCACTACAGTCTGGTGAAACGGTCCCATATGGCTCACAGAATCACCAGAATTCTGGCCAAAGTCTCCTGCTCGGAATATCAAACCTCCGGAAAGTCGGAAATTAGAAAATTTTCATATCACTTCAGAAGAGGATAATTCTCTCCACAAATTTTCATCATTTTCTCGGGCACTCAGGGTATGCCAAATTCATTCAAAAACTTAAACTGAAAAGAATATCAAACACTTGCATTTTGCTAAGGCCAGTCTAATCTTATATACGCAAACTCGCTATTTCAGCAAAGAAAAATCAAACTTGCTTGAAAAGAGACCTCTCGAAAAGAGAAG